AATAAAATAAATAAAATTAAACAATGGAAAACTGCAAAAACTAAATAAAGAATATATAAATATTGCTTAATTAAAAGTGAAAAAATTAAATTTAATCATAATGAGAAAAGAATTTAAAATCGAAAAAAAAATTATATGATGAAAAAAACTAATTAAAAAGAATGGAGTGTTATGGAGAACTCTCCATAATACGAAAAAAATCTCTCTGCATGTAGACTGTTACATAGGGAACTTTACGTTGCACAGTCCATTTTTTTTCATTTGTTCTTTTTTTTTAAAATTTCTTTTTTGCTTATTAAAAAAATACTTTTTTTTGAATTAAAATTCCTTTTATTTTTTTGTTTATGATAATATGTTATTTTTCAATTATAATTAAGTAATATTTATATATCCTTTATTTAATTTTTGTATCTTTCTTTTGTTCAATTTGTTTTGTTTTTATTATATATATATTTTTAAATTTCTTCTTTGTTCATACTATATATAATTACGTTTTTCTTTTTAAAGTTACGTTTTATCATAAAAGTACATTTTATCATATTTTTAAATTTCTTTTTCTTTATAAATTACGTTTTATAATAAAATAAAAAGATTTAAAAAGAATTTTAAATTGAAAAAAATTATTTATAATTTGAAGAAAAAGAATTTTTAAAACAATTTTACAAAACATATAATAAAAACAAAACAAATTAAACAAAAGAAAATTACAAAAAGTAAACAAAAAATATATAAATATTATTTATTTGAAAGTGAAAAAATTAAAATTTATCATTATGAGAAAAGAATTTAAAATAGAAAAAAAATTATACAATGAACAAAAAAATTTAAAAAAAAAAAATGGAGCTCCATAACACTAACGTCCTTTTTTTTTTTTTTTTTTTTTTTTTAAAAAAAAAAAATGGAGCTCCATAACATGGAAAACTCTCCATAACACTAACGTCCTTTTTTTTTTTTTTTTGTCTTTCTTTTTTAATTTTTTTTTGTTTAACAAATAAACATTCCTTTTATTTTTTTCTTTATGATAAAAATTTATTTTCAATTTTAATCAAATAATATTTATATATTCTTTATTTAATTATCGTAACTTTTTTTTGTTTAATTTGTTTTGTTTTTAATATATATATATTTTTTTGAAATTTCTTTTTCTTCATAATATAAATAATAATGTTTTTCTTTTTAAAGTAACGTTTTATCATATTTTTATATTTTTTTCATTATAAAATTACATTTTATCAGAAAACAAAAAGATTTAAAAAGAATTTTGAATCGAAAAAAAATTAATTATAATATGAAGAAAAAGAAATTTTAAAACAATTTTAACAAAAATGTAATAAAAATAAAATAAATTAAACAAAGAAAAATTACTAAAACTAAATAAAGAATATATAAATATTATTTAATTAAAAGTGAAAAAATTAAATTTTATCATAATGAGAAAAGAATTTAAAATCGCAAAAAATATTATATAATGAACAAAGCTAACAAAAATAAAAATAAAAATGGAGTGTTCTCCATGTTACGGAGATTTTCTCCATGTTACGGAGAGTTCTCCATATCACTAACATGGAGAGTGTTACGAAAAGAGCTCTCTATGACATGGTCTGTTTTTTTCTTTTGTTTCTTTATTTTTTTAATTTATTTTTTACTTATCATATAAATATTTTTTTTTGAATTAAAATTCCTTTTAATTTTTGTGATAATATTTTATTTTTCAATTATAATTAAATAATATTTACAGTTTAATTTGTTTTGTTTTTATTATATATATATTTTAAAAAATTTTAAAATTCTTTTTCTTCATACTATAAATATTTACGTTTTTCTTTTTAAAGTTACATTTTGTCATAAAAGTATATTTTATCATATTTTTATATTTCTTTTTCTTTATAAAATTACGTTATATCATAAAATAAAAAGATTTAAAAGATTTTTAAATCGAAAAAAATTATTTATGATATGAAGAAAAAGAAATTTTAAAACAATTTTACAAAACATATAATAAAAAAAACAAATTAAACAAAAGAAAATTATGAAAACTAAATAAAAAATATATAAATATTATTTAAATAAAAGTGAAAAAATTAAATTTGTTCACAATTAGAAAATAATTTTAAAAAATTATATAATGAACAAAACAAATAAAAAATATTTAAAAAAATGGAGCTCCATGACACTTCATCATGTTATGGAGAAAAACTCTCCATAACACGGAGAGATTTTCTTCATGCTATGAAGAGTTCTCTCCGTAACACTAACATCTATTTTTTCTTTGTTCATTTTTTTTTAATTTGTTTTTTGCTTATCATATAAATACTTGTTTTGAATTAAAATTCGTTTTATTTTTTTCTTTATGATAAATCTTTATTTTTTAATTTTAATTAAATAATATTTATATTTTTTTTTATTTAATTTTCTTAACTTTTTTTTTCAATTTGTTTTTTTATTATACATATATTTTTTAAAATTTTTCTTCTTCATATTATAAATAATTACGCTTTTCTTTTTAAAGTTACGTTTTATCATATTTTTAAAAAAATTTTCCTATATAAAAGTACATTTTATCAAAAAACAAAAAAAATGAAAATAAATTTTAAATGAATTTTTTATACTATTAAGAAAAAGAAATTTTAAAAAATATAATAAAAATAATATAATTAAACAAAAGAAATTTTTGAAATCTAAATAAAGAATATATAAATATTATTTAGTTAAAAATGAAAAAAATTAAATTTTATCATAATGAGAAAAGAATTTAAAATTAAGAAAAAATAATTATATAATGATCAAAACTAATTAAAAAAATAAATAAAAATGGAGAGTTAACACTCCACGTTAGGGAGAAAATTCTCTGTATCTCTCCGTGTTATGGACACGGTCCATTTTTTGTTCTTTTTTTTATTTAATTTGTTCTTTGCTTATTGTACAAATACTTTTTTTTTTAAAATTAAAATTCCTTTTATTTTTTTAGGAAAAATTACAGCTGAGGTACAAACACATTTCGTTTATTAGCAGATTTTACTCAAACCTTTAGTTTGTGTCACCTTGAGTACTAAACCTTTCAAAAATATGCAGTTCAAGTCCGTATTAACGGTTTCCGCCAGTTTGACCAAAAAAACTGTTAGTTGACTTCAAAAGTTCAAAATATAATAATTTTTACCACATAAGGTAAGGGTAAAATTGTAACTCTATAATTCTAATATTAAAAAATAATTTACAAGGGGGGGGGGGGAAGCCATCTCCTCCTTCACCTTCCCCAATCCCCTCACCCCAAAATCAAAACCACCTGCCACCCAGTTACCGCCCGCCGGCACCATCACCCTCGGGTATTACCTGATTTTCTAACAATGGCCAAAACTCCAGTGTTTCTCCTTCTTCTCCTTTTCCTTGTTGCAACATAAATTAACGCCCTAAGAAGAATTGTGGGGGGCAAAGGTGAAGAATGTGAAAACCAGTAAGTGCAAGATCTGGGCAATTACTACTTGGACCATACAATAGTAAGCATAAGTACGGTGCGAATGACAGAAATTTCTTACTTTTTCACATGTGGTGGTAGAGGAGAAGCAGGAGGGTTTTTTTTTTTTTTTTAGCTTTTTTATTTTTCACCATCGAAACATTGAACAAACTTGTGAACTTAATAATCAAACATATCAGCTGAGGCCATGATCGGCTGTTGATTAATGTACATTAAATTCCATGGATTGTTCAAGAACCCATCAGAAAATCCTTGAAACTCCTTAGCTTGGAACATGCAATTGGTGGCTGGAGGTGTTGCCACAGTAGTTGCAACGACGGCGACTGTGGCGCTGTTGATGTAATTAAGGATTTCGTTGAGGGATTGCAGTCTTTGGCTGAGTTCCATCGTTTGAGCCCTCCAGACCGAGGTGGTGTCGACTGTCGGCAGAGATGTAGGATTGGGGAAGATGAAGGAGGAGATGGTTTTTTCCCCCTTTTTAATTGTTTTTTTTAATATTAAAATTATAGAGTTACAATTTTACCTCTGCCTTATGTGGTCAAAATTATTATATTTTTAATTTTTGATGTCAACAGACAGTTTTTCATGTCAACCTGACGGAAACCGTTAATATGGACTTGAACTGCATATTTTTGAAAGGTTTGGTATTCACGGTGGCACAAACTAAAGGTTTGGGCAAAATTTACTAATAAACGAAAGGTTTGGTACCTCTACTGCAATTTTCCCTTTTCTTTATAATAAAATTTTATTTTTCAATTTTAATCAAGTAATATTTATATATTCTTTATTTAATTCTCGTAACTTTTTTTAGTTTAATTTGTTTTGTTTTTATTGTATACATATATATTTTAAAACTTTTTTAAATTTCTTTTTCTTCATACTATAAATAATTTTAATTTCGTTTTAAAGTTACATTTTATCATATTTTTAATTTTTTTTATAAAATTACGTTTTATCATAAAACAAAAAGATTTAAAAAGAATTTTAAATTGAAAAAATTATTTATAATATGAAGAAAAAGAAATTTTAACACAATTTCGAAAATATATAATAAAAACAAAACAAATTAAACAAAAGAAAGTTATGAAAACTAAATAAAGAATGTATAAATATTATTTAATTAAAATTTAATTTTTAAAAATTTAATTTTATCATAATGCGAAAAGAATTTAAAATAAAAAATAAAAATATTTATGATAATATAATTCATTTGTTTCATGATAAAATAATATGAATGATACTTGGAAAATTGGGATGAACAGTAGAAAACCCGTTTGAGAATGATGTGTGAAAATAAGTGTGATAAAAATGAACAGTGATCTAGAAAGTAGATTATTATTATAGATAAAAAAGATTAGATTAGAAAAGTTACGAAAGCCAGGTCAAACTGATCGTTAAATAATTTATGGTATTAAATAATTGGCGGTGGGACAGTGAGCAGCAGCACTGCTTTACACTTTCCAATCTGATCCTTGTTTTTTTATTGCATCGAAAAGTTCATTTCATTTAAGATTCTAACGTTAGATTGAAGACAGTGCCACCTGGTACTTCATCCATGCTTCCTTGGCCCCATAAAAATTTCTCCACATTCTTCTTCTCATTTTAATCATACAGGAAAGAGAAAAGAAAAACACACACACACACACACACCCCCCCACCGTGTTTCATTCTTGGTTTAATTTCCGGGTTAATCATTTTGCTGTATCTGTCGACCTATGGGAACCATAACAGACTCGTGTTGGAAGGTTCTTGTTTGTCGATGTAATTATAGAGATAAAAAAAAGTGGGTTTTTTGCCCTGGAAATTTTGATCAAAAGCGTGTTTTTGTTGGGTTATCATTCTCAACCTCTCTTCAGCGCAAGAAATTTCAGCCCCTTATTGCAGCTTCTGCTCTGTCAGAATCAGAATCTAAGGTCAGTATTGCTGTATTTTAGGATTTTTTTTTCCTCTCATTTTTGATCCGTAAGGAAGAAAAGTGAAGTTAAATCTCGTTGATTATACCAATTTTTTTGCAGCAGGATTCACCGTAAATGCCCTTTTTTGTTTATTATCTCTAGTATTCAATATTTCTCGGTCATATTTGATCTTGTGAATGGAGTTTTATGATTTATGGCTGATATTAAATTTTGCCATAACTATTAATGGATACTTTTTAAAAACCAGTAAGCAATAGACTGATAGAGGGACGGAGGTTATCGTTTGTTCAGATATTTTTGCTGATCTTTCTCGAAAGAATTATGGGCTCTTTCTTATTTTCCTTTTTATTAATCACGTGTATTCAGTATTTCTCTTGTCACTCTTTACTGATGAAAATGCTATAGCATTTGCTCCTTGTATGATTTAGTCCTGCTTCGAAAAGAACAAGAAAGGAAGGGATGAACTTTGAAAGCCTATTTGTGAGAGAAAAAATCAATAAAAATTGAAAATAAGCCTCCTAAGGGGGAGAATCAGATGGAAACAAATATTTTTCCAAATTCTCAAATCAACCATTCGAGTAGTAGTTAATATTCTCTGTGTCTTGGCTTTTGTGTATCCCATTATTATTAGTGGATACTTGGTGATTTCTTGTTGGCCTATTGTCGAATTATGAGAACTTGTGTCCTTTATCATGCCCAATTGTTTCACACCAAGACTGAAATACGCGTTTTATCACAACCGAATCTACGAATCTAGAGGCTTACTAAAACCGCTGCACATATTTTGCTTATAACTGTTTCATTTCATATCATGCTGCAAATTATTTGAAACTTCAACTGAGGATGCAGCAAATGTTTAATAGGGTGCTTGCGGTTAAAGGCCAAACTTTTACATCAACAGAGATGACACGTATTTAAGAATGAACGAATTAATGAGGAATTGCAGTGAATGTTTTAATAATTATGTTTAGTTCGTTGAATCTTAATTGTGCACATTCTCTTTTGGTTGCAGATACTGGTTGCAAGTGAAGAAACACAGATAAATGATACAGGTATTTTTCAACTGAAGGGTTTTATATATTTTACAGCTTCCATACAGTTGTCAAAGTTTTATTTTTCTTTGCTCTGCAGACGAGCCCAAAACTGTCAATGTCAGATTCAAATTACAGAAAGAATGTGCATTTGGCCAGCATTTCCTAATTGTAGGAGATGATCCAGTTTTCGGCTTGTGGGATCCATCAGATGCAATACCATTGAATTGGTCCGATGGACATGTATGGTCTGTTCAGCTGGTAAGGATCTTACATTGAAAATAATTATTCTTAGTGTTGTTGAAAATTGTTCTGGTAATTGCTGTTTCTTTATGGAATTCATAGGATCTCCCTATTGGGAAGGTGATCAAATATAAGCTCATACTGAAAGGAGTCCGTGAAGAAATATTGTGGCAGCCGGGCCCTGATAGAGTTCTTCAAACATGGGAAACGGAAAAGACGATAACTGTTTCGGAAGATTGGTACAATCCCGAGCTCCAAATGATTATGGAGCAGGAGGAACTCGTAACTCATATGAGTGAGGAACCTATGATTGATTCAGAATTAATGCTGGATGCTGAGAATTTAACTCAACCTGTACAAGAGGATGAGACTGATGTAAATAAGGAAAGTACGAGTGCGAATGGCAATTTTAGGCTCATGGAGAACCCATTGCCCGATAAGGCTGCTGAAATGGTTGCAGATAACATTACTGAGGAAAAGAGAGAACCAGATTTGAATACACGTGATGAAGTGTCTGGTCCTGTGAGTGTGACTTGTGCAGAAAAGGAAGAGAGGGTTCTTGGAAATGACGGCTCAGCGATCAATGGAAGTGACTCATTGAGCTCGAGAGATGAAGGAAGCCTATTTCCTGATGAAGGGGTTCCTGTTCTGGTACCGGATTTGGTTACGATGTCAACGGTAGAGATTCGAGAAGAATCGCTAAAGGAAATGGAGAAAAAAAATGCTGCTAATGTTTTAGTTGAATCTGATAAAGTCAAGTTGTCTGATTCACAAGAGGTAACAACTTAATGTTGGTCTTCTTCATCACTTTTTTAAGTGTTTCGCCTTAGAATATGAAATTTTCTTGTACCACCTCAAATGAAAAAAGAAAAGCAATGTATTACTGTGAGCAAAGAGTAAATTTAATGAATAAATGCTCTTCTTCCTGTATCTGTTATTGAGCTGGCATCAGATGACGCCCCTGTCATTTATAGAAACTCACTCTATTTTTTGAAGAACAACTAAATCAAGTTCATATATCTATTCCATTTCCTATGAAATTGTACGAGGATGTGAATTTCTATTATATCGAGTATCTCAATAAAGTTCTGCTTCCATAACATTTCGCTGCAATATCAACCTCTACATTTCATGTATAATCGAAATGTTATAAACATTAGTTGATGATTGTCAGTTGAAATAATTTTTATATACTCGTCTGCAATCATTTATTTTGCGACGTTTTTGCATGTGATGGTTTATTTTGCAATTCTCATTTTCTGTAAACTATTATCTTGAAGGAAGAATATGCATCTGCCTCATTGCATCCTACAGGAACTAGTGAGACAATGATCAATAAGAAAAAAGAACTGCATGTCAATGAATGTGCAGAGAAAACTATCATTATCCAGTCGAAGGAAGAATATGCATCTTCCTCGTACCATCCTTCGGGAAATAGTGAGACGATGATAGATAAGAAAGAAGAACCGGATGTCTATGAACGTGTAGAGAAGCTGCAGCAAAGTCAAGAAGAAGATAATCCAAGTAAAGAGGAACTGCAAGATAGTGTCTTGGAAAGTGATTTACAATGGGGTCGAAGAACTCTGCAGAAATTCCTTGCTAACTTGGGATTTCAGTAACATTACAGATGTTTCAAGGCTTCTAGCAGCGAAAGTTCATTGAAATTTTGAGAAAATAGCAGCAGAGGTTGCCAAACTATTGCCCGTGTTGCATGTTTCGTCCCCCACTTTTAAAGATAGAGCATTTTGGTCTTTAATCTTTCTCCTGTTGTACACTTAGTCTCCCAATCTCTCTTTTGGGTGAAATATCTATATGTATTGATTCTACTGTTGCATGGGATACGTTTTGTACGGTTTGGATATGTCAAATGTTATTGCATATGTACCATTACAATTTCTGTGTCATTTCCAAAGGCAATGTACAGAATGAGTGCAACATTTCTATTATTAGGGTCGTGTAGAGCCCTTTTATGGGCCCGATAGACTAAATGTATGATTGATATCGGTCGTTTGTCACAAAAGAAAATACTAATAAAGCGGGGATCATTAATTAATAATAATCAACTTAATAGAAAATAATTGTTTTCTTTGTATTTATTTTTTATTTCGTTGCTATTAAGAGATGACACAGTCGATCGGATTAAATAGACATCCGTCAATGCAATAATTAAATTGAACTAGACTATAGAAGCCAAAAGTTTCAAGGAAACCTATGCCATTATGTAAAATTGATGTTGACGATCGACAAAAGTTTGTGCAACTTTTGCCAATAATTGTAGGAAGCACATTATGATCAGACAATTATAAGAAATAATTTCAACACATTTCACAAGCTATTCTTAGTTCCCAATAAAGTTTGCATTAGAT